GCAGCTTCGCAGCCCAGCGCTCAACCGCTGCGCCACCGGGGAGGCCCTGGTTGGATCTCATTTCTAATTCCTTTCTGAACTGTGTCATAGCAACTGAAAACAGCTTTCCTCTGAATGATCCAGGAATCTACAGCAACTGTTCTATTTTTACATACAAAAAATTACAATATAGCACGTAGGCTTAGGTAACTTGTCAGAGATTTCCCGTTTATAGGGAATCTGCTTCAGAAAGAGACTTTGCCTTTGAAGCCTCTCCTATCGGTGGTGTCTGCTATGCGTTTTGGGCGGGTGGAGGGCACTTTGGAAGGAGGATTTCATGCAAATCACTGAAGTCCCTGAGGGCAGGGCCATGGTTGTGCAGCAGTGAATGGGTTGGACCTACTGGCTTTCCTGCCTTTGTGGCGGGTGCTGAGACTCCTACTCAAGCCCACTCCAGGCCAAGCCTGCTGCAAAGCATGGTTTATTGCAGGAATCGGTGTGCAACCTCTTACTTTCCAGAGCCCAAGTGTGGGTGGTCCACCAGCTAGCCAATGTTGGAGAGACGTCAAAGGGAGGTTAATTCGGGAAGCCCGTCCCAGGTTCTCAAACTGAAGCATTCCAGTCACCTGGGAGCTTAGGGAACATGCAGGCTTCTGTGCCCCGCACTGGCTACACAGGACGCTCTGGGAATGCCTTCCTGGTCTCATCTTCTAGTTTTTTGAAGCCTTAAAAAAATTCCCATGGAGATTTACACACAGTTCTGAGGGATCTTCCTTTCTTCATGAGATACGGGAACCTGCTCCGCCACACCTATTCAAGTGCTCGGGGAAGAGAGATTATGGGATGGGTCGAGCCGGTACGACCCAAAACAATTTCCAACACGAGCTCCCTTCTTTGCAGAGATGGAGGGTTCTTGAGCCATAAACCCAGTGGGACTCCCTAGAGGCCATCCTGGGCCGCCGGTGGCGTCCTCTCTAGAGGCAGGTGCCATCGGGGCCCTGGGGCGCGGAGCCGCGTCCCTGGCCATCTGCCGTCCAGGCTGTGCTCCCCGGGCCCGGCGGGCAGCTCCTGCACCGGCCGGACGTCTGTGCCGCGTCTCCTTCCTCCACCTCGTTGCTGGGACGAGGCTCCTTTTCTCCGCAGGTGGCGAGGCTGGACTGGAGTTGGGCTGGGGCGGGGAGACCCGGCTTTGCACCCCGCTACCGGCTGCCGTTTTTCCGTGTTTCTCTCGCCCCCGCCACCCCCCGGCCCGCTGTCCCCGGCCACTGCCCCCGCCCGGCCCGCTGTCCCCGGCCACTGCCCCTGCCCGGCCCGCTGTCCCCGGCCACTGCCCCCGCCCGGCCCGCTGTCCCCGGCCACTGCCCCCGCCCGGCCCGCTGTCCCCGGCCACTGCCCCGCCCGGCCCGCTGTCCCCGGCCACTGCGCCCGCCCGGCCCGCTCTCCCCGGCCACTGCGCCCGCCCGGCCCGCTCTCCCCGGCCACTGCGCCCGCCCGGCCCGCTGTCCCCGGCCACTGCCCCCGCCCGGCCCGCTGTCCCCGGCCACTGCCCCCGCCCGGCCCGCTGTCCCCGGCCACTGCCCCCGCCCGGCCCGCTGTCCCCGGCCACTGCCCCCGCCCGGCCCGCTGTCCCCGGCCACTGCCCCCGCCCGGCCCGCTCTCCCCGGCCACTGCGCCCCGCCCGGCCCGCTCTCCCCGGCCACTGCGCCCGCCCGGCCCGCTGTCCCCGGCCACTGCCCCCGCCCGGCCCGCTGTCCCGGCCACTGCCCCGCCCGGCCCGCTGTCCCCGGCCACTGCCCCCGCCCGGCCCGCTGTCCCCGGCCACTGCCCCCGCCCGGCCCGCTGTCCCCGGCCACTGCCCCCGCCCGGCCCGCTGTCCCCGGCCACTGCGCCCGCCCGGCCCGCTCTCCCCGGCCACTGCGCCCGCCCGGCCCGCTCTCCCCGGCCACTGCGCCCGCCCGGCCCGCTGTCCCCGCCACTGCCCCCGCCCGGCCCGCTGTCCGCGGCCACTGCCCCCGCCCGGCCCGCTGTCCCCGGCCACTGCCCCCGCCCGCCCGCTGTCCCCGGCCACTGCCCCGCCCGGCCCGCTGTCCCCGGCCACTGCCCCCGCCCCGCCGCTGTCCCCGGCCACTGCCCCCGCCCGGCCCGCTGTCCCGGCCACTGCCCCCGCCCGGCCCGCTGTCCCCGGCCACTGCCCCGCCCGGCCCGCTCTCCCCGGCCACTGCGCCCCGCCCGGCCCGCTCTCCCCGGCCACTGCGCCCGCCCGGCCCGCTGTCCCCGGCCACTGCCCCCGCCCGGCCCGCTGTCCGCGGCCACTGCCCCCGCCGGCCCGCTGTCCCCGGCCACTGCCCCCGCCCGGCCCGCTGTCCCCGGCCACTGCCCCCGCCCGGCCCGCTGTCCCCGGCCACTGCCCCCGCCCGCCCGCTGTCCCCGGCCACTGCCCCCGCCCGGCCCGCTGTCCCCGGCCACTGCCCCCGCCCGGCCCGCTGTCCGCGGCCACTGCCCCGCCCGGCCCGCTGTCCCCGGCCACTGCCCCCGCCCGGCCCGCTGTCCCCGGCCACTGCCCCCGCCCGGCCCGCTGTCCCCGGCCACTGCCCCGCCCGGCCCGCTGTCCGCGGCCACTGCGCCCGCCCGGCCCGCTGTCCCCGGCCACTGCCCCCGCCCGGCCCGCTGTCCCGGCCACTGCCCCCGCCCGGCCCGCTGTCCCCGGCCACTGCCCCCGCCCGGCCCGCTGTCCCGGCCACTGCCCCCGCCCGGCCCGCTGTCCCCGGCCACTGCGCCCGCCCGGCCCGCTCTCCCCGGCCACTGCGCCCGCCCGGCCCGCTCTCCCCGGCCACTGCGCCCGCCCGGCCCGCTGTCCCCGGCCACTGCCCCCGCCCGGCCCGCTGTCCCCGGCCACTGCCCCGCCCGGCCCGCTGTCCCCGGCCACTGCCCCGCCCGGCCCGCTGTCCCCGGCCACTGCCCCCGCCCGGCCCGCTGTCCCCGGCCACTGCCCCCGCCCGGCCCGCTCTCCCCGGCCACTGCGCCCGCCCGGCCCGCTCTCCCCGGCCACTGCGCCCGCCCGGCCCGCTGTCCCCGGCCACTGCCCCCGCCCGGCCCGCTGTCCCCGGCCACTGCCCCCGCCCGGCCCGCTGTCCCCGGCCACTGCCCCCGCCCGGCCCGCTGTCCCGGCCACTGCCCCGCCCGGCCCGCTGTCCCCGGCCACTGCCCCCGCCCGGCCCGCTGTCCCCGCCACTGCGCCCGCCCGGCCCGCTCTCCCCGGCCACTGCGCCCGCCCGGCCCGCTCTCCCCGGCCACTGCGCCCGCCCGGCCCGCTGTCCCCGGCCACTGCCCCGCCCGGCCCGCTGTCCGCGGCCACTGCCCCCGCCCGGCCCGCTGTCCCCGGCCACTGCCCCCGCCCGGCCCGCTGTCCCCGGCCACTGCCCCCGCCCGGCCCGCTGTCCCCGGCCACTGCCCCCGCCCGGCCCGCTGTCCCGGCCACTGCCCCCGCCCGGCCCGCTGTCCCGGCCACTGCCCCCGCCCGGCCCGCTGTCCCCGGCCACTGCGCCCGCCCGGCCCGCTCTCCCCGGCCACTGCGCCCGCCCGGCCCGCTCTCCCCGGCCACTGCCCCGCCCGGCCCGCTGTCCCCGGCACTGCCCCGCCCGGCCCGCTGTCCGCGGCCACTGCCCCCGCCCGGCCCGCTGTCCCCGGCCACTGCCCCCGCCCGGCCCGCTGTCCCGGCCACTGCCCCCGCCCGGCCCGCTGTCCCCGGCCACTGCCCCCGCCCGGCCTGCTCTCCCGGCCACTGCCCCGCCCGGCCCGCTGTCCCCGGCCACTGCCCCCGCCCGGCCTGCTCTCCCCGGCCACTCCCCCCGTCCAGGCCCGGGGCTGACGAGCCGGCCCGCGCCCGCGCCCGCGCCCAGAGCACCCCAGCGAGCGCAAGGGGCAGCCCGCGGGCCAGGCCGGGCGTCTGGCGTCCCCCCACCGCGCCCCACCGCGCCCCCAGCACCCTCTGGGCGGGCGGGAGGGAGGCTTGAGGCGCGGTGGCCGGAGGAGGGGGGGCGCCAAGGAGCGCCGCTCTCGCCCCGCGCCCGGGGTGTGTGGGGGTGTGTGTTGGGGTGTGTGTGTTGGGGTGTGTGTGTGTGGGGTGTGTGTGGGGGGGCTGTGTGTGGGTGTGTGTGTGGGGTGTGTGTGTGTGGGGGGCTGTGTGTGTGGGTATGTGTGTGGGGTGTGTGTGTGTGTGTGGGTGTGTGTGTGTGTGTGTGGGGCTGTGTGTGTGGGTATGTGTGTGGGGTGTGTGTGTGGGGGGTGTGTGTGTGGGTGTGTGGGTGTGTGGGTGTGTGGGGTGTGCATGGGTGTGTGTGTGGGGGTGTGGGTGTGTGTGTGGGGATGTGTGGGGTGTGTTGGGGTGTGTGTGTGTGGGGTGTGTTGGGGGTGTGTGCACGCGCCTGGCCGGGGGCGGGGCTTTGTGATTCAGGGGCGGGGCTTCTGGGCGGAGCCGGGCGGGGATTACGTCGTGGGCGGGGCCGAGGGGCGGGGCCGCGGGCGCGGGGGCGGGCCGCGGGGAGGGCTTCAGGGCGGGGCTTGTGGGGCGGGTCTTGAGTCGCGGGGCGGGGCTTGAGGGGCGGGGATTACGTCGAGGGCGGGGCTGCGGACGCGGGGCGGGCCGAGCTGCGGGCGAGTGGGCTGCGGGCGGGGCCTGCGTCGCGGGGCGGGGCTGCGGGCGCGGGGCGGGGCCGCGGGGAGGGCTGCAGCGTGGGTGGGCCTGCGGGGCGGGGCCTGCGGGCGGGGCGGGGCGCGGGGCGGGGCCTGCGGGCGGGGGGGGCGGGGCGGGGCCTGCGGCGGGGCGGGCGCGGGGCGGGGCGGGGGCGGGGCGCGGGGCGGGGCGCGGGCGGGGCGCGGGGCGGGGCGCGGGGCGGGGCGCGGGGCGGGGCGCGGGGCGGGGCGCGGGCGGCGTCTCCCCAGCACCCGCCGCGGCCGCCGCCGAGCGCGCTCGCCCGGACCCCGCGCCTGGACGCTCGCCCGGCCGGGCCGCTGGAGTCGCGGGCCCGAGCGCGGCGGGCGGCCCCGGGGCCCCGGCCGGAGGATGTCCGGGAAGCACTACAAGGGCCCCGAGGTCAGCTGCTGCATCAAGTACTTCATCTTCGGCTTCAACGTCATCTTCTGGGTGAGCGGGGCGCGGGCCCGGGTCCCCCCTTCCCCCGCCCCCCGCGGCCCCGGGGTCCCCCCTTCCTCCCGCCCCCCCCCCCGGCGCGGCCCCGGGGTCCCCCCTTCCCCCCGCCCCCGGCGCGGCCCCGGGGTCCCCCCCGCCCCCCGGCGCGGCCCGGCCCCCCCAGACCGGCGCGTGCTGCCGGCCGAGCCGGGGCGCCGGGGCGCGGAGCGGGGCGCGCGGGGTGCGCCGTCCCCGGCCCTCCGGCCCGCGCGCGTTGCGGGCGCAGAGGCGGGGCCGGGCCCCCTGGCGGGCCGGGGCCGGGGTGGCCGGGGTGGCCGGGCCGGGCGCGCGGGGCCGGGCGGGGTGGCCGGGGCCCTCCGCGCGCGGGGGGCGCCTCGGGCAGCGCGGGGGGCGGCGGCGCGGGGGCGCCTCGGGCAGCGGGGGGCCCGCGGGGGGGGCAGCCGTGGTCCCGGCCGGCGCCCCGCTTTGTGGTGGTTCCGCGCGAGCCGCGCGCTCGGCGCCAGACAAAGGGTCCCCGCGGGCCGCCTCCGCGCTGCGCTCTGCTCGCCGCGCCCCCGCCGCGCCGCGCCCCCGGAGGGAAGACGGGGTGCGCGGGGCTGGGCTGCTCGGCGTGGAGGCCCCGGCCCCGGCCCCCTGTATCCCGGCGTCCGCGCTGCGGGCGCGTCTCCCGGCTCCTCCCGCCGCGGCTGGTCCCGCTCCTGCCCCGCGCCCCGTCCCCGCGTCCCCGTCCCCGCGCCCCGTCCCCACGCGCGTCCCCACGTCCCGGTCCCCACTCCCCGTCCCCGCGTCCCGGTCCCCACTCCCCGTCCCCAGGCCCCGTCCCCACTCCCCGTCCCCAGGCCCCGTCCCCACTCCCCGTCCCGCGTCCCGGTCCCCGCGCCCCGTCCCCACGCCCGTCCCCACTCCCCGTCCCCGCTCCCGGTCCCCGCTCCCCGTCCCCGCATCCCGGTCCCCACGCCCCGTCCCCGGCCCGTCCCCAGGCCCGTCCCCAGGCCCGTCCCCAGGCCCGTCCCCAGGCCCGTCCCCACGCGCGTCCGCAGGAGGACGCAGGGCCGCGCCGCGGCAGGTGGGCACGAGGACGCGGGCGGCCGCCCACAGCCAGGCCTGGCAGCCGCGTCTGGGGGGGGCGGGGGGAGGGGGGGGACGTGCTGGGCGTGGGCCTCGGGACCGGCCTGCGGGCGGTGGTCGGACCGGCCTGGTGGGGCGTCCTGAGGGCGCCTCTCGCAGGACACCCGGGCTTCCTCCCCGGTCTGGCCAGAGGTGGAGGAAATGAAGGGATTTGGACCCGTTTCTCCGACAATTGAGTGTCGTTTGGTGGAGCGCGGAGCAGCGTTACTGATGTCCTGGATGAGCTGGTAGCAACAGCCCTGCCTGTGCAGAACCGCGAAGACCCGGGGAAGCTTGCCGGAGAGTCCAGCGCACAGCGCGTCGGCTGGTTCTGAAGGTCTGCCTTCCCCGACGGCGTCGCGGAGCCTGAGGGCAGGCTCTGGCGGAGGCTGCCCCGCTGCTGCAGGCAGGACTGTTAAGTGGGCGCCTTTGTCCTCAGAGCTCTCGCCTCCTTCCTGCGCCCGAACCTCCTTTCCTGCTGCCGCTCCGCCAGTGCCCCACGTTTAACCTCCCAGTCCGCGGGCGCGTGGCTTGCAGCGGTGGGCGGCAGAAGGCAGCCGTGAGGTGTGCTTACAGAGATCCCGACTGAGACAGGTGCTCCTGGAGAACAGGGCTCCGGAGGCGACCTCTGGGGTCCAGGCCTCGCTCCCCAGGCCCGGCAGGTCTGCACCGGTGCGGTCCCGCCCGTGCCTCGTGCCAGACAGCCCCGCTCCACACGGTGAGGCTCAGAGGTGTTTGAAGTATGGCAACGGCGGGTGGTGCTGGCGAAATGAAGTGGCACAGGCAGTGCCCTGGCCCGAGATGGCGCCTCTTAGGGACCAGCGATTCGACTCCTTGCCGATCAGTTAACGGCCCAGGCCTCACCTTCCCACTGTAAAATGAAGGCTCTGAGTAGGGTTTCTTCCAGTTCTGACAAAGAATGAGTTTGCTGAGGTCTGGTATTTTAGGGATGAAAAACAGAGGAGCTAGTCGCGGAGAGATAACGAAGGGGGCGTATCTGGCACACTGCTGCAGTCACACACCTTTTGTCTCTCATTGAGACTTGTCTAAAGATCCCTTTTTGTTTTGGTTCGGTGTTTTTTGGAAAGCCTGGGGGCTGCTCTGGAGTGGGGACGGGAAGAGAAAGAGGATTTTGTCTTAAGGTTGCTTCTTCTGGGTACTCAGTCCTCGTCCTGTAACCCATCCCTGACAGCTGTTTTGCTCTGCCCTCTTGGATTCAGGCTCTTTCTGTTCATGGGCAAGTGAACGGTCTCAGTATTCTGTTCTCCTGTTGGTTCGTGACAAACATCCCCAGCACTTCTTGGTTACGAGCAATATCTTAGTGTTGTGCCTCAGAGTTCTGTTCTCCCAGGCTCATGTGGGAGATTTGCACCGGCGTCTCGGGCAGCCGCGCAGCAACATGATGGGCTGGAGTCATCTGACGGCTCGTGGCGGGGTGGGGGGCGGGTGGCGCTCTCAACAGCTGTGCCTGCTGGGGCTCCGTCAGGCCTGCCTCCCGTCTTGGGCTGAACTGGTGGGAACTGGCCCAGGGTTTCTTCCCTCTGTTTCCCTGGCTCGAGCTCATGGGGAGCCCGCTCCCTTTCAAGGGGATGAAGAAGGAGATTCCAGCTTTTGATGGACGAGTGTCAAGGTCATGTGGGTCGTGGTCATTTCCGGAGAATGTAGTCTGATGCACGGACCTTAACTTCTTGTTTATAAAGAGAAAATGGCATCCTGCACTCGCGTGTTCTCAGGGTGCAGGGAGGCGATGTATTGCCCAGCACAAACAGGGCTCCCCTGTTGTCTCCACACTTCATGTAGTGCCGCCCTGCGGGGGAACTTCTCGGCGCCGGAGCCCGGCCTCAGGTCTCCCGAGGAGCTGAGGTGAATGGATTCATTGCACTTAACCACTCATCAGAAGAAAGCTCCCAGGGCCATGGAAGCCTTGGGTGGCTGGGGGCAACCAAGTCACTTGCTCAGCGTCAGTGCTGCCCGGGATGTTCTGGGCTAAGTTTCTCTCTGGTGGGTTCAGCCCCCACGTTGTGCCTTTCGTTGAAGGTTTGCCCTGGATTGGCGGCAGGTGCTGCATCCCAGTTTTTTCTACAGCGTTTCAATTCAGAGAGAAAGAGATTCAGGGGACCTTGGGAGAGGCTATAGGGCACCGGATAGGAAGCCTTATCTTGTGATTCACTGTAAATTGTAAGATGCTCTGGAATGATGATACAGCAGCAGTTTGTAAGTCATCATTTTTGTTTTAATTTGCTAGACATCTGTTAGCTTCGATGGCGACCATATGGGAATCTAAATTGTCTTTTGAATTACAGGGAGGTGGTGGGAAGAAAGCTAAATATGGCTATGGAAGTGTCACACGGGGAAAGTGTCAGGAAGGTGTGCAGACCTCAGTGGGGAAACAAGGTGGTGCTGACGTGTGTGGCCTGCTCTGTCTTGGGTCAGTGAGAAGCACTGAAGCACTCGCACTTGATGACATGCCTGGAAGATGGAAATGAAGCTGAGGAGAAAATTTGGAAAACAGAATAATATTCCATCTACTATAAATTGCCAGCATGAGCCCATCTAGGTGGAGCGCTCTGTCTCAATAGTCCCTGGCCAAGGGTACAAGCAACCCTTTGTCTCTTAGCAGAACTTTGTCGTTATGACATCTTCCTCGTGCGCCTCTCCAAGCATCCTCTGAGCCTACCGTGATACCTGTGACAGGTGAGGAAATTAGAGACACAGACGAGGGGTGACTTTTGAGGTGTTGAAGAACATGGCAGGGCTCACTCTGGGAAAGTTCACTCCCTCCCAGTAATTAAAGCTATCGTTTGTTTTTTGAAACTTATTTTAGGAAATACTTGTTATTCTAAAATAAAACATGGCGTAAGTCACTTACATCTGCTCATAATTGAAGAGTGATCAAGTTCTTGCATATGCCTCAGTGAACACCACCCACAGGCACAGAAAGTTGGGATGGAAGTGTTCAAGGGTATGAGAGACTAATAAGCAGTTGTCTGGTCTATTGAAAATTCATAAATGAACGTTGAGCGTTAAAGGTGGTGTTCAAGCATGGCTTCGGCACACTTGTCTGCAGAGACCATGTCTCAGGCGTCTTCACGGCCCTGTTGCCTGGCATTTTCACGGCAGGGGTTTAATACATGTGTGTAGAGTGAGTGACAGAATCCCTGGGAGGTGCTGGACACCAGCTCCCCTCACCGCTGTTCAGGGAGTCTGTGCTCGGGGCACCCGCCTAACCTTCTAAGGATGTCTTGGCCACTAGAGCGTTTCCTCTGTTCGCAGCGATTATAGATGTGATCTGTTTCCCGAAACTTCCATCCACTGAATATACAGCTGTTGATTTTAATTCTTGTTTTGAAACATTCTGGACCCTGCAGAAAAATGGCAGTGGAGTCCCTTGAGAAAAAGTCCCTACACTCAGGTATTTCCTGCAGAGGACGATGTTCCCCTGGAGAAGCCCAGGGCAGCACCCAGGCCCGGGGGTCCGAGAGACACACCCCCTTCCAGCCCCAGCCCTCGTCCACGTCTTGGGAGGCTCCGGAGTCTAGAGCCCCGCGTCCCGTTCCGCCCAGCGCTGTCATTTGTGGAGATTCCCTGTCAGTTGTTCAGTAGGATTTGCCTCCGTTTGACTTTGTCTGCCATGGCCTCACTCTCGGATTCGGGTGTGCATCTTTGGCAGGAAAGTGACCCAAGTGGCGCCGCATTGTCCCGCGTCCTGCCAGGGCCGCTGGCCGCGCCGTCACCGCGTGAGGTGGTGTCGGCCGCACTGCTCATCAAGTCACACTTTTTGGCAAGATACATATTTTGCGATGAGTTGCTTTGAAGCTGCGTACATAGCCCCTTCCCGTCACGTGTTCAGTGTCGTCATCACTCACGTCCAGCATCACGGGTCAGCC